CCCCGGACCCGAGAGCATATATATATGTATGTATGTATATATATATATGTGTGTATATGTATATGTATATGTATATGTACATGTACATGTATATGTATATGTATATACATATATATTCATATATACGTATCAGAACGGTGGTCTCGTTCAACCCTGTGAAGCCCTCTTGGATCTTTGGCAAGCTTGCTTATGCCCAGGAAACCGGGTTCAGGTGGTCCTGGTCTGAAACCCTCTAGAGGTATCTGGGGCCTGAGTTTAGGGATTTTAGGTTTAGGGGTTTAGGGTTTAGGGTTTACGACTGAGGGTTTAGGGTTTTAGGGTTGAGGGTTTAGGGTTTTTAGGGGATTAGGGTTTACGGTGCGATCTAAGACAGAAGCAGACTACAACGGCCCGTTCTCGGCGTGGATCGAGGAGGCTGCAAGCCCTAAACTCGAAACCCTACTACGAAGCCCTAAAACCTGAAACCTACAAAGTCATACTATAGGGGCCTTAAGAACCATAATCAGAGTATGCAAAGACTCTATTCTAATTAGTATGGCCCCTCTATGAAATCCCCAGCTCTTCAGAACCCTGAACCGTTAACCCCACAAAACCCTGAACCGAACAAGCACCAATATTGCAGGGGCCTTAAGACTAACCTCTGCCATTTTGGAGGGTTCCGGATTATGGTTGTAAGTATAGCATAACATGCCCCAAATTCTCATTGAACTAAGGTTTTATGGTCCCTACATTAAACCCCTTTGGCCGAAACTCTTCCACACCGCAGAGCCTAACTCCCCAGGCCTTGCTTCATCGAGGAGGCCTTAAATACCTGGACTCTGTCTACCCCGGTTTAGGGTTTAGGGGTTTAGGGATTTAGGGTTTAGGGGTTTAGGGTTTAGGGGTTTAGGGTTTAGGGGTTTAGGGTTTAGGGTCTACCTTGTCTGGACTTCAAAAGGAAATCATACTACGGAGCCCCTCTGCCAGACCACTCCTCTAAACAACACACACCTACAAACACCCTGTTTCCAGGCCTTGGTAGAGGAGGCTATAAAACCCCGAGCCCTGCCCTAAATCCTAAAAGCCCTAAACCCTAACAAGATCCTGGACCCTAACTCCAACCTCCTGTAAACCCGCCGAGCGAAAGCCCAAACCCTAAACCCTCGCAGCTCAAGCCCAAAACCCCATGAGCCCTCAAAAAGCCGAGCCCTTTTCCAGGCTGCATCCAAAGCCCTAAACCCCCACCACCCTACACTAAATCCGAGACCCCTAGAAGCTAACCGAAAAGACCTACCTTGTTAGGGTTCCTTATTATGGTTTCTATATACAGTTCCTTAAAAAAGGTAGGTCTTTTCGGTTACAGGTAGACCCTAAATTCATTTCCAGGCCTTGATCTAAACCCTAAGCCCTAAACCCAAAACCCTAAACCCTAAACCCCAACATTACACTTTAAAAAAAAAAACCCAAGCACCCTAGACCCTAAAAACCCTAAGCTCTTCTCCAGGCCTTGATCGAGGAGGCAAGCTCTTCCCTTGCCTCAGACGAGGCACCCGAGGGTCGGTTCGAGGGAGCCCAGGAGACTCTTCAGACGGTTTTTTGGCTCAGGGTGTAGGGTTTAGTAGGGTTTAGGCTTTGAGGCTCAGGGTTTAGCTCCATTTTGCATTTTCTCTTATTGGGCTTAAGTGGGACTTGTTGACGAATATTTGTCAGGGGCTTTCTTGTCAATGGGGGGTCCAAAATCCCACAGATCTCTGGTATAGACATGGTACAGTCGCAAGCCGTACACCCCAAGCCCCAAACCCTAAACTCTAAACCCCCTAAAATAAACTCTACCTAGGTGACGGACCTGGCGACTGGAGTTAATGATTAATATGGAAGCCGCACTGATACTGGCTTCTTGTTGATGAACTTCAGTTACCATAACAGGGGCCTAGAGCAAGTAATAGAGATTCCCTATTTTTCCTTATTATGATTTGTAACTTAAATCAAGTTCGTTAACAAGAACCGGGAACCCAATAGTAAATATCAGAGTTTCCCTATTTATTATGGTTCGTAGCTTAAATCAAGCTTCTTCACAAGAAGCCAGTTTAAAGGAGCCCAACTCTACTCATGAGTGTCCCTACAGTTGCATGAAACCTGGGGCTTTCGGCTTGGAGAGGTGCTGCTGGCTTAAGCCATCTTAGAACCCCGAAACCTCAACTTGATAAGCTTTAGGGTTCAGGGTTTAGGGTTAAGGGGTTTAGGGTTTAGGGTTTAGGTGTTTGGGTTTAGGGTTCAGGGTTTAGGGTTCAGGGTTTAGAGTTTAGGGTTAAAGTATTCCGCCTAGGCTCCAAACCCATAACCCTCGATCTTAAGCCTGGAGCCGTCCCTAAACCCTAAACCCTAAACCCTGAACGCAGAACCCTGAACGCAGAACCCTGAACCCTGAACCCTAAACCCTAACCCTGAACCCTGAACCCTAAACCCTAGTGTGGCTTTTTGTTCTCCTCGCTTTTCAGTTCTTTGGGTTTAAGGCGGTCTTGTTTTCTACGTGTCGCACGTACTGTTTGGGTCGGAGGTGTTTACAGGTTTGACACTTAGGGGCATTTAGGGCCAAGAGTGGCTTTAGCGCTTAAGTGGTTCGGTTCTTGACAGTCTTGCACCATGAGTCGAGTAGCTTATCCGCTCAATCCTCAAAGACACAAAACGAAAAACTGTTCTTGAGATCTGTTCTCTAAACAGAGTACCGTTCTAGAGCACCTAAGAACCTAAGCCCCGATACCCTGAACCCTAAACGCTAAAGCCCTAACACCACCTCAAGTTCAGAAGGGCTTTGCAACCCAACATCCTAAACCCGTAACCCGAAACCCTAAGCCCGACACCAAGGTCCGTTCAAGAAGTTGAGGCAGAGAGCTTCCAGAACCCTCAAACCCGGAATCCAAACCCTGATCCTTACGGTTTAGGGCTTTGGGGTTTAGCGGTTTAGGGTTTAGGGCCCAAACCCTAAACCTTAGGGTTTAGGGTTTATGGCTTAGGGGTTTAACCTTAGGGTTTCGGGTTTAGGGTTTCGGGCTTAGGGCTTACTTGAGGACTCCGGATGGCTGAGGGGCTTAGTACGTAGGGATTAGGTTGTAGGGCTTACGGCTCAGGGCACTCAGTAAGTAAGGTTATAAGTGGGCTTATGGCGTTAGCCTAGCTATAGCTGTACTTGTAAGATGTGTGTTATATAATAAGCCCCCTGAGCTTTTAAGTAACCCTCGAAGCCTGAACAGAAAACCCTCAGCTCAGCTAGTTCTTTCAAGCCCAGAAGGTGGCCAACGGGCTCCGTGTTTAAGTTTTACTGCTTTATGTTGAACTTTAGACGTATTTCAGACAGGCTTTTGCAATGGTTCTCGACTTGGTAGCGCTTTAGGGCTTGTCGTTTGAGTTTTTGAGTTAGGGTTTTGGGTTTGAGGTCGATTTTTTGTTTGGCCTGGGGTTTGGGTTTTAGGGGTTCCCAATTGCATTGGCAGGGTTCACCTGCACTGCATTATCGGTGCGCAGGCATAAGATGTCTTTTTGAGACCTTAGCCTTATAGGGACACCGGATCACTTCTGCTGCAGTCTGCCGTCACATCTCAGATCAAGCAGGAAGGATCTGTTCAGCTGTCAGTTGACAAAGGAATTTGTTCCTAGGTCTGCAAAAGTCCAGCAGCAAGTAACTAGTGGTCGCACGAAATTCTCGACTTAAAGTCACGCTTTAACTTTAGGCCAACAGTACCTCATATCCGTCCTTTGGCTTGGGTACCTTTTCCACGAAGTATTTGACTCTGCGGCATCGGATTGATTGAGACACTGCTTTGCTTGAAGTTCTTCGTGGGAAGTCATGAACGGAGACGTCATGACAACTGAGCTGGAAAACAGTATCTCCAAAAACCTTAGTCGTATCTTGCGATATGAGGCCTACAAGTACGATATATCGCAAGACCCAAACGGTTTCATTTTGCTGGAGGAGTTCCTTGAGAAATCCAATCTCGGATACACGCGGGAGCAGGTGCTGTACGTTGCAGAGCGCAGTCAAGGTGGTCGTGGCAAGCGTTTTCACGTTGACATCCCGGCTAAGGGCATTGTTCGACTGAAGGCGTATTACAGAAATGGTCCCAAAGAAGAAGGAAAGTCGAAGTCAAGCGGTAAAGCAAATGGTCGGAGCGGAAAGCAGTATACCAGCGAGAACGGCTACAACAGAAGCGATGCTAGGCTGATCAGTAGCATACTTTTATACTGTCCCTAAATCCTAATCCTAAACTAAACCCTCAACAGGTAGTACAGTTTAACGAATTTCTTGTTTCCCAGACTCCTAAACCCTGTACCCTCAACTTGTTGATTCTTGAGCTGTTGTAACCCTAAACCCTAAACTTGTTTGTTTCATGGTTTCCTGTAACTCTATAACATATAACCCCAAATCCTAAAACCCATCCTGAACAACCCAGGATGGGTTCTGGGGCGACCGTGCTTCAGCAGGCCCATCCTTTGAGCCTTTTGGCTGTCCCCCAGAGTTGCTGAAAAGGTAACACATCAGTAGTTTAGCGGGTCACCTCGAACCTTTTTGGGGTACGACAATCCTCATATGCTCCCAAAGGTCAAGTTCGTTAAATTCCGTCAGGTACTGGACAAGTAGGACGCAAATCAGTGGTAGGTTACATAACCTTTACTCTTCTCTGGGGGTAGTATAAACTCCATATTGGAACCCCAAGGGATAACCTAAAGTTCGCCTAGGATACTGGGCAGACAGGCAACTGGGAGCATGGAAGCCTGCAAATGTAGTCTTACTATTCCTGAGCACTCTATTCGAATTACTAGACCCTAAACCCTAAACCCGAAGGCTCTGAAAGACTTCCTTGCCCCCAGAGAGCCCAGGACCGGACCCCTTCAATCAGAGAACATGCATTACTTCAGACTTTTAAACCTCATGTAAGTCTCGTTCCCTTAAATCCCAAACCCTAAACCCT